TAGAATACAGTTCAGTTTTGATGTTTGTAGAATAACGTGTTGCACTATAATTGGTGTCTCCACAGCGTGGTTAACGGTCCACGGATCCACCTCGCTGTCCTGGGCTGATTAATCTAACACAACGTGGAAACTCTGATAAATCCGATTTCTAATTAAACAACCAGTGAATACAATCTGTGGCCTGCGGCTGAAATCTATACCTCAGTCTGTACCAATGAAATGTTCAAGAGGTGTCCAACATCTAATGACATTAGTGGGCCTAGCCTGAGTGTGTGTGTGTGTGTGTGTGTGTGTGTGTGTGTGTGTGTGTGTGTGTGTGTCAGGCTTAATTAGATAAAAGTTTGAGTGCAGCTAAATTGGACAGAGTGGATGGCTTTGTGTGTGTGTGTGTGTGTGTGTGTGTGTGTGTGTGTGTGTGTGTGTGTGTGTGTGTGTGCTGTGTGTGTCTGTGTGCACATTTATCCTGGTATACCAATATGTGCTGTGTTCTTGTTTGTGTTTGTGTGTCAAAGTGAAATTAGACTGTGTTCATTTGTGCTGAGAAAGAATACAAAACATAGTCAGTCACTGAATGTGATCCAACACCAACAGAAAACGTTGATGAAGAAGATTTTGATAAATCCCAATCAGGTTTTAGTGTTTTTCCCCAAACTGAGAATATGTATATCTTTTGGTGTTTCATTAAGATTCATTTTTCAAAATCAATTTTCCAGGAATCCATGACTAACAATGGAAAATAGGCTTTCCAAGCAGGTCATTGATAGTCAGGAAAATGAGAGAATTGAATGTGCTCAATATGTGCACAGACACTAAATGACAAAAAGGCTTTAATCATCAGCTACTCTGGACGCTTAAACACATTGCAATCCCTATCCCTCTTAGTGCCTCCATTTATGAACATATTGAGCATATTAAATTCTGCATAACCCCTCTGTTATTTCTGAGTAAAATGAATACCCCAAGATATATTATATAGGCCTATATAACACCAAAAACATAAAAAAATCCAGTATAAAAATACGTTTTTGCCTCTCAGGCTACACACAGGCTGGACCAGTTTTATACATTACATCACAAAAAACCTACTCTGCCCTCATCTGCATGTTTTGGGCAACAGTCCTTACTTATAAAAAGCACAATTACCAATTTCATCATTGTGTGTTGTTTTCTTCTAAATGCAGAAAATGGTATTCATTCGTGGTCATTTTTATCTGGTTAAGAAGCCCTGACTTCTTTCTGTTCCAACTCTGTCTAGCAGACCTCCGCCCTTGCCGGTGGATGAGAGCGGGGCCACTCACAATATGGCTTTATCTTACGCTGTAAATCTTCGATGTAAATTTTGAGGAATACAGTAATGAACTGCGGTTTTATTTACTGTAACTGTAAAGTACATCTGGAGTGACAAGTCTTACAGTGTCATCATGTTACATTTTAAAGTTTAATATCTTTTATTTTACAAATTTCCTACACATTTACAGGATACATGAAATGTATTAAAATAACTACCCTTGTTCTAATTATAGGGAAAATAAGGGCAGTGCTAAATGGGTGCATTTCCAATTGATTAATTCCAATTGATTACTGATTTCTGATATAGTAATAGCAACTTGTTGATACAATTCCTCTGGAGCTTTCAATCATAACACATGATCTTCCTCAGCACATGTTATCATGGACTTATAGACGATAGATGTTTAACTTCCCATATTGCAGAGTTCTTTTCCTCGTCTCATCTGCTGACGAAAATCCAGTGAAATGATCGAAAGCTTCAGGACAGCGACTAACTGGACCTTGTGGTGGGATTGCTTTTCCCGCTGTAGTACCAAGGTCAAGACTGAACCTTGAACGTCAACATTTACTTGGATACAAAGAGGTTTTTGTTCAGGGAAGCCCCTTTTTTACCCTTTAATTAATATCCAAAAAAGAAAACAAAAATCAATTTGGTTGGACCACTCTGGGGCCACTCAAGTCATCTCTATGCATGAGAAGCACTGCTGGGTTGTTGTTGTGTGATTGATGTCCTGACACACCCACCACCTTTCATAACACAGCGCTCCCATTGGCTGTGGTACACTTCATCTCGAAAGGGTCTTGTTTCACCCCCGGGACTAAAGCCACGACTGAAACCTCATCTGTGTGAGTGTGTTTGTGTGTATATATTCATGGATGTCCAGCTGCGCCCCAATGAAATAAATGCCAGTCTGTTCCAGGAGAAAAGGTCACGGCACTAGACAGCACCTCTACAGGAGGTAAATTACAACACTTCAATCTGGGATGGATGGACAGAGGGGGGAATGGGTGGATGGAGGGGTAAACTGGTTTGCTCTGCTGAAAATTAATGGGGGATACGGGATTAAGGGATGCAAGAAGAAAAATTCTAACAACCCAATCTGCAGAGCTCACGGCAGGAAGGACAAAAGGATGGATGGAAGTAGCGGGAACTGAAGGGAGAAAGATGGAGGAGAGTAAATTGCAAAAAGCCTGTGGGAGAGAATGGATGAGTGAATTGGAAAAGAAAGAGGGATTAAAAGATGGAGACCTGGGAAATTGCTCTAACCCAGGCCTACACCCAGCTCAGAGGACGGGAAAGAGAAAGGATGGATAGATAGATAAGGATGATGTTCAGACTGAACATGATCCAAATTTATTGCCCTTTTATTTGTGAGTACAGTTGTGTTGCCAGACCCGGACCTGACAGGTGTTCTGGCCATTTCGTTGCACAAAGCCCTGCACTTGCATTTGGATTTGATTATTTTCAAATGTAATGTAAAAAGAAAATTCTCTTTCTGTCCCTGACTGTGCCAGTCATTGGCATCCATGCGTGTCAAGTGTTATGAGTAGATAACAAATGCCCTGTGGGAAAAGGTAAAGAGATACAGCGTAGTCAGTGTGTTGGCCAGCTAGCGCTCAGAAATGGATGATATAAAGCAAAAATGCAGCTTCTCAGTTCAGTTTTATTCGTACTGGGTCTTAAAGGACCAGTGTGTAGGATTCATTTGAATACAGATCGGCCTTTCTCGACTGTAGAAGAAACTACCCCAATCTAGAGCCAGTGTTGGGTTTGGTGGTTCAACATGGCGGACTCCGTAGACAAGGACCTCCTCCTTCATTAGATACTAACGGCTCACTTTAAGGTAACAAAAAACACATTTATACACTAATGAAAACATACCTATGAATATTATATTCCATTTCTGCCAATAGAGCCTCCAAAATGTTACACACTGGACTTATAAAGATGCACATACCGGCTGGGTTCAAGTCTTAGTTTTTGCTACGTCAGCTGTAGCAAGCTGATATAATACTGTGACTGACTGTTACGAGACCAGTTACTAATGTTTTTTTCTTCTACACCGTCTACTCTGTACATTCACAAAGTCCATTCATGTTGCAAGAAGCACAAATGTGTTGCTCAGACAATTTCCACCCATTTGCACTGCACAGAGGGAATCTGCATCTATTCACATCTATTAGAGCCACTTTATTTTTATGTGTTGCTACCTGCCTTAATTCTACATGCATAAATTGGCCATATATGATACATCCCGAGGATAGCTAGACCTGATCCAACATAAACAGATTGAAATAGAAGGGGAACAGCAACACCGAGACCCAATTAGTGTGAATATAATTTGGCCCCAGCCCGACTTGGGTCTGACATTACAATAGAACAGTCAGAAGCAAGCTATGAAGCAGCAATAAGAAAGATTGAAGAAATTAGGTAAATGAGAAGGAAATTTAACAGCGAGAAGGATTTAGGTAAGTAAAAAGAGCAAGGGAATAAAGTATGGAAGAACTGATTGAATGAAAACTGAGCAGAAGAAATGAGAAAGGGGGATTGTGAGATGGATAAAAGAGGGAAAGAGTAGAAATAAAAGAGTGATGGGGATGAGAGAGCGTTGGGAGGAAGGAGGGAGGTAGAAAGAGAGACCGCGCTGGCTGAGCTATAAAGGAATAAATCTCATTTCATTGGCTGGTGGTCACTGAGCTGATGAAACTAGATGAGAGGGTTGATTTAAGGAGACATTGACCTCTGGCCCCTGGGGGGCCCTCACTTGCAAGAACATTCACACAGCCTTTTTTATGTTACTCTTACTGAGTGAGTCCAACCTCAGCCAATGTACAAGTCACCTGGGGTAGAAATGAAAACCAGGGGCACAACACAACTGTCAGATCACCTTATCCTGATGGTTATTCATTCCTATTATTATTAGTTAAAACGTAAGTACTTTATTAATGTAGATCAACATGAATAAGAACTAGTTTTAGAAATAAATGTTGACAGTTTTGCCCATTTCGAAGGCCACATAAAATTCTAAATTTGTCAATTATGCATTTAAATTCTTATAGTAAAATAATACACCTACTGATTGGTGACATAGTTACCATCATGGTGGCCCTGAAAACCATTTGTTTCAAACAGTTGCTTCTACGAGTGATAGGGTCCTGCCTGGACACCTGAACTTTGACCACAGAAACTACTTGGTTAGGTCTGGGTTTGGTTTCACGTGGAACATGAACAGTGTCTCCTGGAGAAAAGTCCTGTGTGTGTTTGTACATGTTAGCATGCTTTTGCAAATTAGTTTTTCAGGTACCTGATCATAAACCAAAGCATTGCACAAATGTTCATTTTGACCTGCTGATGGCACTAGATGAAAAATCTGTTTAGCCACTTTACTCAAAATCACAAATATCAACCTCATAGTGGTGCATGAGGACAAGTCAGGGATCATCAAAGTCATTCAGATTCATTCTGTGATGAATTTTATGGCAAATCATCCAACAGTTAAGCAGTTTAATGGCCGTTGATCTCCCTGGCTCGAGTGACAACATGTTTTATATTTGCAAGCCAGTTTTTCTGATGTCATTTTCAATGGGACCAACGGGAGAACACAGGGTTACTGGGCCAAAGCTTCTTCAACTGACTTTTGTTCCCACATCTCTGTGACATAGTAAATTGCCACACAGGTTAAGGGTAATATGAACAGCTGACTACTTACCACCTAAAGCTTGTTTCATTACAAAATCCATGATTCCTGCTGATTCGTTGTAGTTGTTCTTCTCAAAAGCAAAGAGAGCTGAGCATGTAGCCACCAAGCCTGGGATCTCTGGATGTCTCGATCCTTCTCACTTTCCCTTTCAGTCTTCAGTGACTCTCGTCTGGACCTGAGGGAGAAGAAATGAGAAATGATTAACCAAACAACCCCCTGGCATTAAATACATATTAAGACATATTAATTGAAAAGCTTTCATCTCCAGTACATTGGTAGAGATGCTAAATACATCGATGGATCTCCAATCTGCCAAGTATTGGACAGCGCGAAACAGCAGATCACACTAATGTTACAACAGATAATTGGATCTTCTTAACACTCTCCAAACCTGTGTGACAGGAATCCCATTCTGGAAAGCACACAAATCAATACTGAAGCCATTTGCTCCAAGTCACTTATCTCAACTCAATACCAATGGATCAGTCATCTTCTATTGCTGACTGGTCATAAATATTTCACGGGAAATTAAAAGATGGGGTTGTTTTCTGTTTAAGTCCATCATACTCATATATGACACACCCAGGTTGAGAATCATCTTATGTCTGCACTAAATAGATAGATAGATAGATAGATAGATAGATAGATAGATAGATAGATAGATAGATAGATAGATAGATAGATAGATAGATAGATACTTTATTCATCCCCAAGGGGAAATTCACAGTTTCCAGCAGTATCCACAAACTGATAATAATAATAATAATAATAATAATAATAATAATAATAATAATAATAATAATAACAACAACAACAACAACAACAACAAGAGGAGGTCAATTTAGAAGAACTAATAGAATAAAGTAGAATAAATAGCTAAATAACGAGCATGGGGCTAGTGTCCTAAGGTGCATGGTCAGATCCAGTGCTTGAATGGCCTAAGGTGCATAAGTAGTGTCAGTCAGTGGTCACATAATGCAGAGTGCACTGCGTCAGGTGGTATAGTTAACTAAAGGGCAGACATATTGGAGTTTAGAGTTTTCCTCCCCTGGGTAGAGATGAAGAGCCTGATGGCGTGAGGGAGGAACGATCTCCTCAGTCATGCTCCTGTGTATAAAAATACACACCTATGTAAAGGAAATAACAAAATCCATATTTTCTCGTTAAAATCAATAGAACTGTGACAATCTACTGTCTCAGTTACTTCCTGCATTTCCTCTGTAGCTGCTAATACAAACTCTGGTTTCTGGTGCTCTCTGATGGCCATGTATGTAGTTTTGGGAACGACCATGTGTTTCATTCTGTGAGTCATTGGCAACCAACTCATTCATCCGTTAAGGTATGAGGACGTGTTGGATATATACAGTCTGCCAGCAGCTGTTGGGAAATGAACAGTCATTTAAAAACCCATTGTATGCAAGGGGAAAGTGGATTCAGGCACACGCTCACTCAAGTTGCATGTGTGTCTGTAGCCGCAGTGTCAAATATGTTAAGCAGTGACATACAGTTGTGAATATAGTTGGCCATTAGGGGAACTGGAGCTGGAACTGAGCCTGGCTGCTCATTGGCTTATGTGGAATAAGATGCCCTGTTGTTATTGTGTCCCTGCATACTCTCACTCTTGCCCCTGTATCAATTTGATAAACTGTTCTTCTGCACCAGTGTCGACCAAGATGAAATCCTCCACATTTATTGCACCTGGCGAACCAGAACACCATTTCCATTTTGAAGCAGATCCCTCCTGCTCCGCTCGCCGAGCGCCCGGTGTCATTTCGCTACGCCAATATTTGCCGGAGCTGAATAGAGCCGGGATGAGATGGGATGGGACGGCAGATTGAGCTGCACAGCTTATTCTGGGAGGCAACAGGGGAGACGGGGCCGAGCGGGACGACAATCCATTTGTAACTGTGACCGAGCGCTTGAGGGGGTGAAGGGCCTCATTTCCATACACACACACGCACAATGAGGACACACACACACACACACACACACACACACACATAGTATTTCATTAACAGGAACGCAAATGTACGATGGTACGCAATATGAGGAAGACAAATGTCACACCCTTCAGCTTGTGTGAGGAGAGCTGTGTATGCATACAAAACAATAGGTGTATTCAAATGTGTGATTGTGTAGAACTGAAAGAATGGAATAATGATGAATTATTTGAGAGATTAAATCATTACTAAACTAATGTAATATAACATGTCACCATCCTTAAGACTTTGGATTGTGATCAGGCCATCATCACAGTATATATCACAATAAATACGTTGCGAGGTAAATCCACATTTTAAGGAAAATAAAGAACTTTATTTTATAATTTATAAACAAATAAATAAAGTCCAATACAAGCAAAACTCAGTGGTGGTTGGTGACAATGACAGCAATGTAAATTAATATTTTGGTCAAACAGTTCCTAAAAGTATGGAAAAAAAACTATAACAAAAATTAAATAATTAAACATGGCTGTTAAAAGTTTACAGATTTACATTTCTCGTCTGTTCTGATGGATCAACAAGTAGCTTGCAGTTTGAATGTGTATTAATGTACACTGAATATATCTATATCTATATATATATATATATAGATATAGATATATATAGGCCTATATTGTTATTACCTTGATTTTCACATTTAAGTACATTGCTTTATTTGTTATGAGCCTTGTAAACTGCTTCCTACACGCAGTCAGAGGCCACAATCATCCACGGTCCAGCTGTTATACTCATTGTATGCCACATTGTATGCCGTGTTCTTCCTTTTAACACTTCACGCAGCTGAATGAGAACAAAAAAGGATTTTATAACCTTTGTATAACAGAAGAAGTATAGTAAGAAAAGAGGAGTCAGACTGTGGCTTCGTTTGGAGTTTTGATTGTGTTCTGTCTTACATCAATAGATCACAGTACAGTAGGCAGGCGATATATATTATACGGTGTGTGTGTGTGTGTGTGTGTGTGTGCGTATGTGTGTGTGTGGCCTCTGGTGTTTGTGGTCTGGCAGCAGAACATTTCTCTTATCGATACAGAAACAGACTCAAGGACTCGCTAATGGAATAAAAGGAAAGATGCTGCTGTCAGACAAGGACATCTGGAAGAAAAGGACACACACACACACACACACACACACACTTGTGTATTGAGGGCATTCAGTTGTGAACCTTGACACTGAAGTCATAATCCGTGAAAATAAATGGTCTGCGATCAGTGAGTCTCGGTTTTGCTTCCAGTTGGATTGAGATCTGTGAATGTGTTCCTTTTTAAAATGTGGTTTTAATAGTAGAAAATACAGAAGATATCACGTGTTTCTGCCCCCTTTTCCACCATCTTTTCAACCTTTCTCTAACCCCGCTTTCTATCTTTCTGCCTCATTAGACTCTCTCTCTTTATCACTGGTTTCTGTTTTTGTCTGTCTGTGTTATCTCTCTCCCTCTCTGCCACTCATCATTATTTCACTTGTTTGCGTTCTTCCTCTCTCTTTTTATTGCCGGTTTCTTTCCCTCTTAGTCTCCATTTCCAGCAACACATGCACTAAACACACACTCCATATCCCTCATCCTCATCTCTTTATGATCTAACCCGTCCCTTTTTCTCTGGTGCAGACATGTACAGTCAACACACAGCGTACTACGCCCAGGTACATAGAGCTGCAACGATTAGTCCATTAATCAATTAGTTGTCAAATATTACTGCCAACTATACCTTAAGAATCGATTGATTGTTTTGAGTCGTGTTTTTATCATTGACAAATTAAACTGGAGAATCCATCTCGCCACACTTCAAGCTATGCGCTTGTTTCCAGACCACAGTGGTTTAGACCGATCAGCGTCCTTTGAGGAACTACTGGCAGCTACGGGCGTGGTTTAACTTCAACTTAAAGAAATGTGTGACATATTTAAATTGGTGCAACGCAAACAGCCTCCACTGGTACTCCTTCCCCTCACCCTCTACCTGCACACTGAAACCTCTCCAACACGACAGAACCGGGTTGACACAATCTTAGAAAACCCGTCATGTGAGAAAGACTGGAACAATTCATCATGGCGTTATCGTGTGAAACGGAGGAGCGCCACTCTGCCTGCCTCCATTTACATCCTCATCAGAAACCAGAGGCCTGAACGGCGGCTCGTTATGTAAGAGCTTATCAGTGGGCGTTTGGCGATGGACTGGAAGCTGAAGCAGCTCTCCACGCAGCATACTGAACTTCTCCATTGTGGTGATAGTGGAGTCGAGTTTGAAGCCTTACATAACCCTCCCTTACACACAGGGCCAAATATACCATACAATCACTGACGACAGCACCCAAGGGCATTCCCCGCACCCGCCCTCCCCTCATCACTCATCCCCCAGCACCCAACCATTTTCCTTCCATCCTCCACCACCCTTTCTTCTTCTTCTTCTTCTTCTTCTTCTTCTGCTCCTTCTTTTTTTTAATTTCATAATCCAGGCGCTGGCAGCGGTGCGTGACGTGGGATAATGTTATCAGGGCCGGGCAGGACGGCTCGCTGATCCTATCCAGTTAATTGGAAGTTGTTTCTGAGTTTCACGGCCGGAGACGGCGATGGGAGCGGCTCGGGAAGGCGAACATGAGTCTGTCAACGTAACGTGTTTGCAACAGGCGAGGGGGAACGTGTTAGAGGGAGAGAAAGAAAGAAAAAAGGGGGAGAAAAGCTTTAAATATGTGAGGTTTCAGTTCAGAGATGACAGGTCCATTACAGGAGTTACAACCAGCATGGAGACACACACATACTGGATCCCTATTGCCTGTTGATGGTGAACTATCAACATATTGCCCTTGCCATGCAAAAACTCATTACTCCAGTTTTGCAGATTTTCATTTTTAGCTTTATAGAACAAGGCTGACCATAACTACGTAACTGTAGTTTTTAGCAAATTCTCCTCAAACAGGAGGCGATACTGTATTCACTGGGGACTATTTTCAGTTGTGGATTAATCCACATTTGGTGCTCTAGGGAGTAGGACAGTGTATGTGAGATTGAGTTAAAATAAACTACAGTGTGTGTGTGTGTGTGTGTGTGTGTGTGTGTGTGTGTTCTTAGTAATGAAGGAACATGTCAGTGCAACAGTGTGGTTCACTGATGTGCTTTCAGTAGGTTTTTCGGACAACAACAGAAATCTATGGCACAGAGATTGTGGGACGAGGGGGTTGT